AAGCTGCTATGTGCTCTTCAAGGGAGATAATCAACCAAATGTCACTTCCTTTACATAAAAAATATTTATGTAATCCCCTCCACATGTGTTCATAGAAATGATAGGACCCAGCAAATAAAAAGTTCTAATCCCTTTTTCCCCTCCTCATGTAAGGTTACAGAGGTGAATGGTTCACAAATTGGTAGCATCTTCTATGCCCAATTTTTATGTAAACTTGACAACTAATAAATCTCACTTGAAAGTGTAAAGCACACACAAAGTTCGTTTCACAATGAATTGTCAGCTAAAGGCAATACATTAAAAAAAAAAAATGTAACTTGCAACTTGTAAGGTAGATGTAAAAGGGAATGTAAGAAAATCATAAACAAAAGCATGGCATTCAATGATGATACAGACCTCTGATACAAAAGCTTCAAGTTCAGGTTTCGATAGGTCCTTATGAAGTGCTTCTATAATCTCCTTCTCCTTCTCATCAATCATCTTTGATATACTTTCCAATTGTGACATTCTCCATTCATAGCTCTTAGTCTTGCCTGAAGTAAAGGCTTTCCTGAGCTCCTTAACAAGCACAGCAGCTTTGTCTACATCAAATGTTTGCTTTGCTTCCTCCATTGTTATCGATAGTGTTGCACGGCAACTTTTTTAGATGTATTTGAAAAAAACAAAATCCAAGGAATGCAGGAAGTGGTGCAGATCAGGAAAAGTAAATTAATTAATACACAAGCACAAACATGAGTATAATAAGACAGACAGAGAAAGAGAGTTTACTAGGATGAAGAAGGGATAGAACTGGAGAAGGATACTTGGTTGATCTTATATGTATGATGATATGCGAGGGTATCACCCAGGCCAGCACCAACTATACTGCTGGATTTGAAACATCTGAAAATGAGTGAGAAACAAAGCAAAATAATGCATTCAAAAAGTATATATCAATATGCAAGAAGACTAAACCAAACACATTTCTAATTATTAGAGCCCCTCGTTTAGAGTAAAGACGTCAGAACAAATGGACTCAGGTCATCATTTCTTGGGTTTATTGAAACTAGGATTTATCAGAAAATATGATTACAGCAATTACCTAGTCTACAACTTTGTCACAACTAATGAAGTTTTCATTGTTTATGCCTTGAATTAAAAGCTTCAAGAGATACACCCAAAATAAAATTGTGCTAATTAGCTTCTGATGATTTATCCGAGAAAATTTAATGTCACCAAATATTCTTTTGTTTTCTTGAAAGTCCATAATGACACTACGCCACCACCGCAGCAGTGGGCAGATTAGTGATATCTAAGAAAATCATATACCCATAATAACCATGTGTACTCCAAAATTTTTTACATTATATACAGATGAATCTTCAGATTGAGATTTACAAAGTAAAATCATTTGTAAAGTAGAAGAGAAGAAAATTAGATCACATAGATTGTCAAAGAAAAAAACTAAGGAATACATGGAATTTGGACAAGGACATGTACTATTACGAATATTTTGATGATGGAATTTATTCTATTTTGTAAAATTTGAAGGATTGTAGTCCCACTTTTATCCATAAATAAAGAGTCTTGCTTTGCACAGCTTGTATGATGTGCCCTTGATTTATATAAGTTCTTAAATTATAGCATGCTTATAAGAGTTTTTTAAAAAGCAATAACTCTATTAGTTCCACCTTACCTCCAAAAAAGAGTCCTTGATGCTTGCTTAACTAGTACAGAGGTTACAAGCTAAGATCCTCCAATTACCGTTCAGCTTGTCAGTAACAAAAATTTTTCGATTTGGCGTTAAATTGAATACCTATCCCCTTGGCCCCTCCACAAAATTTCCCACTGGGAGAGAGACTAGATCTTTTTTTCTTTTTTATAAGGTAGAGTTAAGATCGTTTAATTGAGCTTCAAACTAGAAATTTGAAGTTTAGTTACAGTTAGTACATATTGCTGCCTAACCTGAAAAGAATTTACCTTGTGGTTATCAGACCTTATCACTTGACCTCAACAAGACTTGCCTTCTCCTGGCAAGGTTCGGGTTCGGTAAGAACAACCAATAGAAAACTGGGTTTTGGGTATTTCACTGAAACCAAGCCTTGACACGGTTAATAGAGGTAGTGTGAGGAAACTGAAAATCTTCAGGCATTCTCTAATTGTTCTTTCTCTCTAAGCAAAGTAGCAGTTGGTATTAATCTCCCAATTCATTTACTTACAACTAATAACTCACAAACCATCATCCCACATATAGCTGACAATGCAAAATATCACCCAAAAAAAAAATGCATAGAAATCAACAGTGAAACTTGCATTATAATTTACAGGCAAACAAACATTTCATCATGAAACATTGTAACATATTAAGCAAGCATCAAGAAAGCCAAAAGACTAAACCAACAAGGTACCAGCAAAAGAGAGGATTGCTAAAGGAAAAGTACTTGATAATTCACAGTTGAAAAGAAGACCCAAAAGTTTGGGTTGAAGAAGAAAAATGAGAGGATAAAGCACCTGCCACAGTCTTTGAAGAGGCCAGCAGAGACGATTATCATGGCAGCTAGAGAATCTCCAAGTTATCGGCAGAGAATTTGGTCACTCAAAGTATACCAGGAGAAGCAAACAAAAATAAAGATCGAGGTTTTTGTTCAGCTTCTTTTTGCGTGAAAATCCAAGAAGTACATGCAAACACAATCGCCACCAGTCTCATATCCTTTGCTGCCAACAGATAAGAGGTACCTCGTGGGGACCATGAGAGACCTTTCCCAACCATTAAAATTTTCTGAGTGCAGGGGATCAACGTGTTAATTCTCTGATGAACATTAGCATGCTGCATGTTCCATTGTCAAAAAGTGTCACAGTCTTAAACAGGAATGAACCCAAACCCATATCAGCTCTCTCTTTCCGGAGTTGGCCCATATTTGGGAGATATTGCCACTTCGGCCTTGTTTGGTTTATTGTATCAGACAAATCTTGAGGACACTGACGCTGACCGTCTTGTTCATGGTACTTACTGGGTATAGTAAAATATTATAGTAAATAATAATATTATATACTGATACAATACTATTATATTTTTATTATTTATGATACATTAATATTGAATAAATAAAAAATAATTAATAATAATTAATTTTTTGATAATTTTAAAAATTTAATTGACTCAAAATAAAAATATATAAATTTGATTGAATATAATGAAAGAATAAAAATTTATTTAAATTTTTTTAAATAGTTAAAAAAAATTAAAATATTATATCTAAATTGTTTATGAAAAAAATATTTTGAAATTTGATACAATTTACTATATTACATATTTCAAAAAATATATATATGTGATGCACTATAAATATATAAAAAAATATTAAATCATGTCTTGTTATCTTTAAATTTAAAAATAAAGCTTAGGAGCCTATAAATATAAATTAGTACTTGTAATACTTTGTATGTAAAAGATTGTTTAAATTCAATAATTTGAAATTTCTAATTTTAATTTCATAAATGATTTAATAGTATTAGAATTGCATATTTTCTCAACCATAAAAACTAAATAAAAATAATTACACTCTTACAAAAAAAAAGTGATGATAAGTAAATTTAGTTGTTATCATTTTAATTACATATTAATTTGATTTATTGAGGGGGAGTTCTTTTTTTTTTTTAATTATATGAAGTTACCTAAGCTTTGCTTGGTAGGATCGATGAAAAAATGGAAAATTAGAGAAGGAGAAAAGTGGATGTAAAAAATAAATGTCTTTCCTTTCATTGCTTGTTAGATGTAAAACAAACAAAAAAAAAAAGAAAACTATATTATTTTATATTATACCCTTTATAAATCAAGGTAACAAAAAAATCTAAAAAAATGATAGAAAATTTTGTAAATATTGTTTTGAAGATCTTGAGAATTCGAATTTTAGAACAAGATGATCAGATTTATAAAAAATATTAATAGGTGCTTACAAATAATTATTAAAAAAATATCTTTCATCCTTTATATGGGTATTACTTAACTCCACACGACTAGAAAATGATAAGTAATATCTTGATTAATAATAATTAGTAAATCGTTAGTCATAAAACTCTATTTGATTCAAAATAAAAATAAAAAAACTTGATTGGAGATAATGAAAAATAAAGGTTTATTTGAGTTTTCTTAAATTATTCAAGGGTTTTTCAAGCATTATGCCAAAGAATTTTGTTATTAATAATTTTTTGACATAATGATCAAATAAATGCTTAAACTATTTAAGAAAATTTAAATAAACTATTATTCTTTTATTACATTCAATCAAGCTTTTATATTTTTATTTTAGATCAAATAAATTCATATGACTAATGATTCATTATTGAACAAAGGAATGATTAAGCTCATACGACAATGATTATAATTGTCATTAATTAAAATACCATTTATCATTTTGTATTCGCATGATATAAATGTAGAAGGTGAAAAATATTATATTATCATGTTATCATGTTAAATTAACATGTAACATCATTATTAATTATGATATATCAGTATATTATATTATCATCAATAATGACATGTGAAGATACTATGTTAACGTCACGCAACATAGAATGATAATGAGTATTTTGATTAAGTCAATTATTAAAAATTTATTTGATTACAATAAAAATAAAAAAAACTTATTTAACATAATAAAAGTACAAGGACTTATTTGAATTTATCTTAATAGTTTAACAGATTTTTTAGTTATTATGTTTAGATTTTTTTTTCTTTTCAAATTGGGTAAAAAAGAGCATTAAGTTGATTTTTGTACTTAAAATAAATAACTTATTAAACTTTAACAGGAGAGTGACCTTTCATTAATATATATATATATATATATATAAATAATATTATATATTGGACTAGATAGGCTTGGGCCTAACTGAATAATCTTTAGTGTGGCCCGGTTGTTGAAGAGTTAGAAAATGTTGTGGAGGCCCATGGAAATTAAGAGCAGGATTTGTGGAGATGGGAGCAAGGTAAAGGAAAGGACAATATTGAAAGGCAGCAGCAGGCGCAGAAGAATCGACAGTCGGTAGTCATGTAACCAAAAGTATCAAACTGGATCTCGTTTTCTTTAGCAGACCAGTCAAGATTTCAAAAGAACGAAAGAATGATGCCTTATTTATTACTCACTCAGAAGCCAAAGAAAAAGAAGAGACAAGAAAAGATGCTCCCACTAAAGCTGGTACGAGAGGCCTTCACCCAACACCCTCTCCTTCTCTCCCAGCATCACCATCGCCATCATTCTAAGTCCAACCTTGAAGATGATGATGATGAAAACGATGCCTCCAAGCCCAGCATTTACAACTTCTATTATTACTCCTCTAAATCAACCAAACCCAGAACCCCCAAATGCAAAACCAAGCCTAAGACCCCACTGCTCCTCTTTCTCCCTACCAGAGAAGTAATCTGCGACACATTTAGGTTAGCCACCATAGCCAGAGAAATGGGCATGGATTTCTACCCGACCCCTTCCCTTTCTCACATCGTTTTCTCTTACTCTTCTTCCTCCCCCTCCCCCTCTTCTTTCTTCGTCTTCTGCTTCTTCTTCTTCAGCTACTTCCTCTGCCTTGTCTCTCTCGTCTTCTTTTTCCATGCCTTTACCGCACGGTCCGTTTTTGTTTCCTTCCTTCACTCTCTTCCTCCTCCCTTTCCCATCTTCGTTCCTTTGTTTCCCTCTCTAAGGCCTTTCAAGCTCGTTTTCATCTCCTCGGGCTCTATTATGATGCAAATTTGATGAGTCCCGCAACTGGGATTGCTGCTCCATTTCTCTATTTTCAAGGCTGACAGGTGATAGGATAGAATCCATGGATGCATTTTCAAGGGCTTTGGCTGGAATGGGATGGACACTTTTCAATACAAGGAAAAACCCATCTCTAAGTTCTGCTAATTCCGCTACGCAAATCGGTTTACTTGTTCAGGAAAGTAGATTCAGGTCGGGTTCGGGGAGGGAGAGGGAAGAGAGGCAGGATAAGAGAGCTGAGGTTGCCTTCATGGATTTCAGGAATGCCCCTTTGAGAGATTTTGCAGTATATTGTTCTGATGACTGATGATGTTTTTTTTCTTGGGTAAAAAAGAAAAAAAGAAAAAGGAAGAAGAAAGAAATGGGGTATGTTTCTCTTTTTTGGTTACTTATTTTTACTTTTACTGCCTTAATTTTTCTCTTTTATTTTTGTTAATTTATGCATATGTTTTTTGTACTTCTCCAGAAATTAGTAAATTACTAATGTTAAAACAATTTCCTGAAATTTACCCGATGACTTCTTTTATAGGTAAGGAAAATGTTAACAAGTGCCTATTAACACTGGTTAAGGTCTTGTTTTTGAAAGATCCCTGTGGTTCATTCATTGGTCTCACTTAAGTTCAATGAGAATAGTGCATAATTAGAAATAATAGACTTCAGTTCTTAAATAACCTGTTACATGGTTGCAATGTCCTCACGAAAATGGATCACAATCAAGCTCAGATCAGGCCAGCGAATGAAGTTTTTGCTAGTGCCTTTTTCATGGTAAAATTTGATTCTTGAAAAGAAGTTTATGAATGTCTTATGAAGGATGCATACTACCAAAAGGAGGTACTAAGAGTTAGACCAATTCTGCCAATGAATTTTAACTGTCGGGCTTGCTCTGAAGAAATGATAGCTTGTACGGCTTGGAAACTTTTGGAGTTAAGGTGAAGTGGCTTGTTTATAAAATAGGAGACGTGTATGGTGCCAGAACAACAAGCATCTCTAGGTTCTTTTGAGCGGTGCTTAGGAACTAGATAAGTTGAAGGATCCACCTGATAGTTGCTAAAAGTAGAAACAGGAATAGCATCAAAGATGAGATCTTCCCGATCGTTGCATGACATAGTGGAATCATGGACCCCACTTGTTGGGAGAAAATCCTTAAGACAGAGTAAAAGATAAGTATTTTGTATGGCAATGTCAATGGGGAAGCCAAATATCTTGTATGGCAATGTCAATAGGAGAAGCTTAATTCGTGTACAGCAATGTCAATGGGAAACTACATTTTGAACAGTAATATTAATGGGACTGGTTGGCAACATACTTTTACTAAGTATACATTAGGATGCCCATTGTTGTAATAGTGGAAGCATATGCTGGAAATGTCTAAGAAGTAAATGAATTCCAAAAAATGTTGTTGTTGCACGTATTTTAAGAGGCTTTAGTTCGGAGAACAGCTTGTTTGCCTATGGCTTAGAAACTGATTAGATATAATTTAGAGACTGATGCATTTTTGAACTCAAAACGCTGCAAGGTGTTTTCTCTGCTTCCTCAGGTCAGTGGAGCATGACTTAATTATGTGTTTCAGCCTGAGTCTGTGTCTCTGTGTGTTTTTTTTTTTTTTTGGGGGGGGGGGGGGAGGGGGGGTGGGGGTGGGGGGGGTGGGGGGGGGGGGGGGGGGGGGGGGGGGGGGGGGGGGGGGGGGGTGGGGGGTGGGGGGGGGGGTGTGGTGGTTGGTTGTGGTGTTGTGTTGTCGAGATGCATTCATCTTGAGCTAAAAAGCATTACTAGATATGAAGCTGTCTATTACTGTTTTTAAAAATTACATAATTAAGGCTATGCTGAACTAGATGATAAAATGGGCTGAGTTCTAGCAGAATTTCAAAGGGAATGATAAGCAGGAAAAGGAATAGCTGCTGATTTTGATGGAGGGAAATAAGAGGCGATCAAAAAGGAAAATTTTTCTCAAAATAGCTATTCGAAGAAAAAGAGGTCATCTTGCCATTGCTGAAGAAACTGGAAGAAACAGATCATTATTAAGAACTTTCAAAGAGTTCAAAAGGAAATACTTGGATAAACTCTCCATTTTAGGTTGAAAATAAGGATGGTTCAGGAGGAATTCTAGGATCATGGGGGGAAAGGCTGTGTTATTTTTTATTCTATCATGATGTAGAAATATGTACACAAGTACATACAGTTGGTTCTTCCAATTAATGGAGAAGTTTTGCCATGAAATTTGTCTTTTAGGTGGCATTTTCACTTTAATGTGTAGCAGTTATGCTTAATCCACATTTTCATATGGCTCTAATATGAAGTTGGACATAACTTTTGCAAATACTTACTTTCAAGAAAATTTGACACGTAGACTAGAAAGGATCAGGCTGAACATTCGGGGAGGCTGAGGTCTATACTCGACTCCATTCCTTTTATGAGTTTGAACTAGAGACAAGCATGGTTCACTTCCATACTTATGTTTGATGTATATTTCTTTAGTATTACACTAATCCCTGGGCCATCACGAGTTTCAAATATTGCAACCAAGAGTATGACATCTTTAATGTCTATGTTGATATATTAAGTCTCCTAGAGACTTAAGAATATGATCAAAGGGTTGACCATGTTGTAATTCTAGGATTAGCATTAAAACTTACCAAGCAAGATGCTTTGCTTATGGTACAGCAAGTTTTAACATTTTCTACAATAGTCAGCATCACATCCATGGACACTTGATCTTAGTTCTAATCTCCATTAAATAGCTCATTTTTGTTTATGCTCCTCAAGCCAAACTCTTTTGAGAGTCCATTGTATGTCAATTCTCTTCATGGTCTGCATATATTGTCCGTAAAAAGAATTTGGTTATTGGCTTAGACTTCCTAGTAAATTTTGGTCAGCTTTCTGACAATGAGGTCACTGTTTTGGATGACCCTTCACAGGACTGGAGCATTATTTTTAGCGGATGCTAGAGCGGTTTATGTTTTTTTCCATTTTTGGTAGGTTGTGCAGTTTGGGCATTTCCAGCATCTTTTGTACCCAAAAGCAAAGGCACTCGCTTAGTTACCTTGTCTTTACAAGCCATATATAGCAGCTAGTTGGAGTCTAGAGCCAATTTTTTTGCATTGCAGGGTAGTGATAGATGATGTTAAGGATATAGTTTTGAGTTGTAGGTCTTGTTCTTTCTCCCGTCCGGAGAGCTCTAATGGTTTGGCCTAAGCATGAGCTCATCTGCGTGTGATTAAGATGGAATTAGAGAGTGGAGGCTTACTCTATCTGATGAGGACCTCCCGTCTTCTGTTATGATTTAATGGTTTAAATGAATTTGCCTTTTATCCACAAAAAAAAAAAGAAAAAAAGGGCAATTGATCTTTAGTCCAATGGTAAAATTGCATGTATCATTGATTCAAAAGGTTAGCCCCACCCGGTTGCCATAATAATGTCAGCTTTGAGCTTTTCTTTTTGGGTAAATTTATGCTCGGCTTGAAAATAAAATCCAGCTGTTATGAACTCAATTTGACTCGTGAGTCACTTGAATTTGAGTGTAAAATTACATCAACATTGGTCGATTTCTTACTCAAGCAGCTCGAGTTAGAGATAATCTTGATCGTGAATAAGCCGGGTTAAGTAGCTTTAAGTAACCATGTTTTTATGGGTTAAGCTGTCGGAATGAAATCAATTGACTGGAAATGCTACCGCGTGCTCATGGAGTGAGATGAAATAATGGCGGATGATGGAACAAGAAAATGGATCAGTCTAGAAAATTATGCCACATAAAATGTTTCCCAGACTTTTAACAGTCAATGAGTAACCTGTAAGGTGTGTTTACCCTTAAGAGTGTACTGCGATTTCCTTCTCTTCCTCTTTCCCCCTTCTGTAACCTACAAAAATGGAGTGACCAAATATAGTACTGTCTCAACCAAAAACAAGTTTTCTGCATCCGAGCATTAGGCAACTGAGTTTTTTGTTATTGGTTGATACACTAAAAAGCAAAACTCAAATCCCTTTCTCTCAATTTTTTTTAAAAAAAGGAGCAAGTCTTTCGTTCCAGGGAGGCAAGACATAACAAAGCTCCCCAGCCGAGCAAGAGTACTAGAAAGCAGCAAACGATAGGCATATATTTATGTTAAGATGCAATGGATATCGACCTACATTCCATTCAGCGTTCAGCAATCAGGAATATATTAACCCAACAGACATCAGATTACCTTCAAGGGCCAACTAGGCTAACATCATTCCACACACAATGTTGCCTGACGCACAGCTCATTGCAAAAATGCAAACCCCAAAAGGCATGATCTATCAAATTGAATTATAACTGCCATTCATTAAGTCTAGTAAAATCCAATTTTCTCAACATTTACTATTTGGCAGCAAAAAAGAATATAATAGTGAATTTATATGCATCATATACCAACAAATCATGTTGTATGAGCACCATGCGTTCTTGAAGCCCATATACCAAACACAAGAAACCAGAAGACAAACAAGATAGCCCAGTAGCGTGCAGGTCCATACTTAATCCTTGTCAGCACAATCTGCAAGTTCCAGCCAAAACATTATCTAAAACTGAAATAAGAAGAAAAAATAAAAATAAAAAGATAAAGACTACGAGTGTGATAATCTCAAGCAAATGAACCAGAAGATGAACAGAAACTCAGAATTTAACTGCAATATTGAACCAGCCACACAACAGCCTGAAGAGAATAAATTTCCTTAGATATACAAAAGTGCAATGTCTTCCTGTACTTGTTACTTTGATTCTCTATACTACTATTTCAGATCAACCTCAGAATTTAAGGTAAAGATTATGACACAAATAGTGCATGCCTTACATGAATGCCATGCCTATTGTGAAGATAGAGCAAAAGTATAAAAAAATTTTATTAAGATAGCTGCTATTTCAAGCAGCAAGTAGCCTCCTCAATTGGCTTACACTAGCCTCAAAAGGACTGCAAAAGATGCTAAATTGCAGATTTGAAACTACATAAACAACAAAGAGAGATAAACAGCAAGCAATACACAGCCAATAACATTAAACTTTCAACCTCAGGTTTGACCAGAAGTATAGGGACGCTATTGCAAAATTAAAATGAGAAACTTATCCAGATTTTAAATATACAATATAAACCAAGAGAGAATGCAATCCTTAATTGTTTTCTAAATGCAATGGCCTTCTATATGAGTACCAACATAATTTTAAAAAACAGTCACATGAAGCACAGTAAACAAATACTTGCCAGGATGGCAAAAGCAAAAGACTAGCTGAAAGTCTTGATCTATTAGTTTGTCAAGGACAGAAACAAAAAGAATCAATCAAGTATCAAAATCTTACATACAAATATATTTATGTTTAGTCAAATCAAATGCAAAGGAGTTTAGCAAATAAACAACTAAAGAAATAGTATCAAGTTACTCACAAAGCGAAAGAAGACCACAACCGTTAAGGCACAAATACCTCCCAAGAGAATATGAAGACCACTCCTAGCCGTTTTCTACAAAAAACAGAAAGATAAATTAAATAAAGCACATAATAATCCCGATGCCTAAATGCATACTTGTAATTAAAAAAACAATGTTTTAACTATGTTGATAAAATTTTCATTGACAAGAATATGTGGGGCCGAGGAATCTAATGGTGCTGCACAAATGCAATTAATAAAATATATATAAATATAGGGGGAAGAGTATTATCATTCCATTCAATCAATATGTATATAAAAGGAAAAGTAAAATAGAATTGTTCTCTGCATTCATGATTTTGGTTATCAAGAAAGCAACAGGTCCTAGACAGTTAGATTAATCCCAAAAAATGCTGTTTCTGAACTTAAGATACTTTACGAGGGATTGAAAATAAATGTGCACTTCTACCCTGGGCATAACCAACAGTCAAATCATTCCTAAGACCACTAAAAGTCCTCAAAGTATTCATGCCAAAAACCTCACCTCGATTCATATAGTTTTACTTGAAGAAAAGGAGATGAAGAACCCACTAATAACACAGTTTATGTTTTCACAAGTTCAGCTATTACCGACAAAAGATGCCAGTATGGCTCAAAATGTGACATCTGAATAGATTTGGATACCAAAATTTGCCCACAACCACTCAATTGCCAATTCTAGGTACCAGTGTGGGCCTGGATTGACACGTGTAAAAAGAAAGAATATGCATTAATGTGTCCCTGCCCTATCAACGAAATCTATATCCTCATATCATCCATAAAATACCCAACCTGAATCCTGTATCTACATCAACAATTCACAGCCTTCCCTAAGAACCTCACTGTTAAAAGTCTTTGGAAGCTAGTTTACATTCGATCTGTATATTAATATAGGCCTTTCCATCCATATACCATAGTCCAAAAGAAAATACCACATTAATGACAACTCTAAACCATCATCAAAAACTATTTATTAAGGAGACATACAAGCAGATTTAATCTAGCATTTGATATAAAGGAATATCATAATGCACACAACATTTCTAATTACCCTTTAAAAGGACATAATAATAGAGTTTAGTAATGTGTATCAACCCCATCACTTTAATACGATAGATAATTTCTTCTCTAGAACAAGAGACAATACAACAATTATAACAGAAGCAACATATAACAGTAAACAGTGTGACAGCAAGCATCAGTTGATAGCGATACCATGATTTGAATAGAGAAAGTAGATAAAAAATGAGTAACATACTTCCAACCCAGTATTGAAAATGATTGCTTGTGTATCAGACAGAAATAATTCCTCTCTTACAGACCTCAAGTAATTATACAATCATCACTTCTCATGCTGGTTTATAATTGGAAAAATATTAAATTTCTGAAATATTTCATGCTCTAAGAATACAGTTAAAGGTTTGGCAATTCCAGCAAGCTGATACTTTTAAATATTGGATTTCTTTATAAACATTGGAATAACAAGAAGCAAGAGTTCCCTAGCTTGCCTGAGAAGTTATATGAGCATTTATTACAATATACCTTTCCAACACGAGGAGCAATGAGCCATGCAAGTGTAACAGTAAGTAGACCTGTCGCAAGCAGAATTCCAGTACCTTCCACAGCCCATTTGGTTGCAGGATTTTCAGTGGGAGCAACTTCTTCAGTGAAAGTATTCAGGGGTTGTTCAGAAACAACCTGTGAGACTGCAGCAGAACTGTTGTTATTGTTATTATTACCATGTGGACTAAACCACAATGAAATCTCACTTAGCCGTTGCCTCAGTATAGCAGCAACAGCATCAGGGTCTACACCTGAACTTGTATGAACTTGGGCAGGATTGGGATCTCCACTAGCAGTCCTTTCTCTCAATGCTTCATAATCCTTCAAAGAAACCACAACTTTCTTAAAGTCAGACGTCCTGATATTTTTTGCAGGATTTCCGCAGATTTCGCAAACAGTAGATCCATGACTAACAAACCACTTGAGAGCACAAGCATAATGCACTAGAGCGAGATCATTTTTGCAAGAACAACCAAGTTCAATTAATGCGTCATGATGATGACATGAGCCTATTTCTAAATCAGTACTACAGATGAAAACCTCTCCCTCAGGGCTAATGAACTCAACAAACCCAGATTCTCTTCCAACACTCTCAGCATGGGAAAAATCACTTTCAACATCTTTTGGAATTCCATTGCTATTAGGCTTAGCTTCTGCATTGCTTTTAACCGCTTCTGGTAAGGGAGGAGTGATGCCCAAAAATCCTAATGCCGCATCCCCCCTTTTGTCAGATTCAACACACTGGCACACACGACAAGTAGCCAAACCTGCCTCCTTGTCTATACTGCATTGCGAGTAAGTCCCAGAATCATCACTGTCAGCATTTGGGCAACTATCATTGCTAACACCTCCATTGACTGCTTGTGGCAAATATTCCTTACCCATCACGAATCAAATAGCATTAAATATAATCTCTTCAATTACAGCAGCATATTACTTTTGCATCATCTTAATCTTCCATGAGGCCAATCTCTCCATTGTGAGTTGCTAAGCAACCGAAAAAAAGCAACACTACCTCCATACAAAACAGACAGTTCACAACCACTTGCACTCCATCGAAGAACGGTGCTTTGTTGTTTTAGCATAATCCAGGGCCTTAATGCAAGATAGAAACAAGGAAAAAGTACTCGAGCAGGACAGCAGATAAAATTATCTGACAATCTTTTTCATGATAGGTTCCTGGTTCACAATAGTACAAATTCACACCTTATGTAACCAATAATAAAACATGTAAATGCAAGAAAACAATAGAATTTTTAAAAGTTTATCCTTAGAAATGAATAGGAAAAGCCATAACTACAATGGGTATTAAATCCATTATCTTCTTCAGCTGATAAAGTAATGGATTAAAAATAATCAACAATAATAACAATCATAAATGATCAAATAGAATCAATTTAAAACACAAGATTTCCACAATTAGTCAAACACTCAAATCTTACTGTTAAAAAAAAGTACCTTACTCACACTTGGAGCAATTAGGCCAATTGAGATACAAGAAATGATAAGAAAAATTAAAGACCTAGGAAAGATACTTTAATAATTGAAAATGCCCAACGTCCAAATTCAATCAAACCCAAAGCAGCAATTTAATTAAATAATAAGCACGCATGAGAAAGAAAAAAAAATCAAACAAAAGAATCATAAATTTAACACGCAATTGAGAGCCCATGAACAAATTTATTTCACAAATATTTATTAAAAAAAAAGCAAATAGTAAAACCCATGAAAGACCAAGAAATCCTAGATCATGGAAAAGGTGAGGAAGCAAGAGGAAAAATAAACCGAACCTATAGTAATTGAGGTGGATCAGGGAAAAGCTTCAGTAGAAAATGAGTGAGGAGTGAGGCGGAGGGATTTCTGTTGGAGAATAGGATGTGACGAAGGGAATGTGGGGCTGCTCGCCTCTACCGCTATGACGCTCTCTTACTTTCTTTTATGGGCTTTGCATTGCTTTGTCTTTTGGGTTTTGGACTGTCTTTCCCTTATACTCTCCTTTCCCGTATAGACTGTTACTCTCTTCCAACATTTTATTTTTGTTTTTATGTGCCATCAATAAATAAAATATTACAATTTATTTAATAAATAAAATTTTTAATTTAAAAATATTTATTTTAAAAATTTTACTTTTTGATATTTAATTTTTACATAAATATAAAAATGAGAATTATATATTAATCTTATAATATTTGTAAAAAAATTTTTAAAAAAAGTGTTATAAAAAAATAAAAAGATTTATTGAGGTGACGAAGAAAAATATTAACGCAGTTCTTGAAATATTGAGTGTTGTAACAAATAAAAAATAATAAGTGAATAATTAAAGAGTAAAAAATTATTAAAAAAGAGAAATTAAAGAAAAGCTTTGGATGAAAATCTTATAGTGCTAGAAAAGTGAAGATTCTTCATATGAATTATGAAGGTTTTATATATAATATTAAAAATGATGGTTATTTAATAATAAACTTTAATACATATAATGAATAATGTTATTAAAAAAAATTTTAATATTAAGTGACTATTATTGAATTTTAATGTTGAGTGACTGTTAGAGAAACTCATTAAGTGATTATTGAAGTAATAAATTTTATAAATATTAATAATATAATAAGAATTGTTTTTGAGTAGAAGGTAAAGGGAAAAAATATATGAAAAAGGTTATATTAAAATAAATTAAAAGAAAAAGGTATATATAAACAAGTATGGAATAATAAATATTCAATAAGATGAGAATTTTAGAATTTAGTTAAGTATAGGTTTAAAATTATTATTTTTTATATCTTAAAAAATAAGAGAGAGAGAGAAAGTGAGTTGTGGACAAAGTCTAATCCGAAGTCTTGACCCAAGTCTATTGGGTTTAAGTTCAACTTCAAAACATTGAGACATCCAAGACAAAAAAGGGAATTTCTTTTTTCATTTTTGTTTTATTGTGTTGTTAATTTAAATTAAGGATATTGAATTAGTTTGTTAAGTAAATAAAATTAATATATAAAAAATAAAAAAATAAATTATTTTTTTGATCATTTAATTTTAAAAAATAATATTTTGATCACTAATATTAATAAATATAATTTAATTATTAAAAGATAATAAATCTCTTATCCTATATTGATCAATTGACATATCTACATCATGTACTTTGTCATGAGATCATGTTCATGTAATAATTATTTTTTATTTTTAATTACTATATAAACATGGTCATGTGATTGAGCAACTAACATAGATGAGACTAAAATAATAATATTGACCAAAATGTTATAATTAAGTAATCAAAAAAGAAGTTTTCTAAAATCAAGTGATAAAAAAAGATAATTTATTTTATAAAAAAGGATTGTTTGACCCTTTTAAAGAGATAATAGTCCATAAAAAATAAAATAGTTATTTGATTAATTAAACAATATTTTATTGGAAAAACAATAATAAATTAAAAAATCATATCAATAATAATATGATTAATGTGAATAATATTGATGTTAATTGCTAATAGATATTGTTAAAATGATGTAAAACCTTATATTTGTTCTGTACTATGTTACTAATATAATATACTTATACATAGTTGTTTAAATAAAGTATGATAAAAATTATGATATTTTTTCTATTAATAATTAAATAAAATTTTTTAATGAAATAATTTTATTTTTAATATTATATATTTCTTGAATGCTAATTTTATCTTACCATTACATTGATAACATAAAAATTAAGACATATTTTGATATTATGAATATAAATATACATTAAGTTATATAAAAATTATATAACTTAAAAATTAAAAAGATTAATACTGGAAGTCACTAGGTTTGTAAAAATGTTATGGGCTAAAATTCTGAAAATAATGTTTAAGTAAGTATATAAATTATGGATTTACATTTTCAATTTAAAAAATATACTTAATAAGTGGTGGAATATACTTAATGCGAGATCCATGATAATAATATTTAAAATTTATCAATAATATAAAAAGAAAATAAAAATTATTTTTTATAAAATTGATTAAGTTACATTAAAAAGGAAATAAAAGTTGATATTTTATTAAATAAATAAATGAATTACAAATTCTCATTTGGACCCTTTAAATACCTAATCGGAATTTCAAAAATTTTGATAATTTTAATTTTTATTTTAGTATTTTCCTTGCACGTAAAATCTTTTGGGGATTTGAATATTTTTTTGCTCCTATAATGCGCGCGTGACGTCACAAAATATAAAGAATAAATAAATTTGAACTCGAAAAACGGTCATCTTTCGTCTGATCCGAATTCCAGAAGCAGTTTTACTCTCTTACCTCCGTCTTCAGACTTCAAAGCTCAGATCCCAAACATGGTAAAAGAAGCTGAATCAGAACCTCAAAGGCCTCCTCTTCTCAGTTTCAGTCTGTTTTTCAGGCATGGATGGTCCTTCTTCAACGAATTTAACGGCCAGGCTTGCGTGAGTGTTTATTTTTATTTTTAATTTTGTGCTTATCTCTTTACTTTCCGAATATAACTGATTTGAATCTTTTATCATAAATTGCGTATCTGTGACAACCCCGATTACGTCGCTTGCATTTATTTATTTATTTATTTATTTTTTCATTCCGCTATGAGGGTTTCTCATGAGTCTTAAAGTTACATTTGAATTTCGGGAAGAGAATAAAATTAGGGTTTTCTTGGGTTTTTGTTGGATATTAGTATGTCTTTGGTCTTTCGTTTGGTGATATATCTAATATGGGTATGGGTATTAGTACATCAAAGATGGATAGTTCACCATTGCTGAGGCTTTGTCGGGAGAGAAAGGAATTGATTCGAGCTGCGGCTGATTGCCGCTATCAGCTAGCCGCAGCCCACATTGTGTACCTTCAATCTCTCTTAGATGTAGGCAATGCACTTAACCACTTTGTGGAGGAAGAAATGCTGGTTTTAAGTGATTGCTCTATTGAGTCCTCGGAGGAGAATAACTCTGACGCTGAGCTGATCTCCTTGACTGAAAGTGCTCATGATCACTCTGAGGCGTCAGGTTGCTCTCCCTCTATGTCATCTTCAGCAGCGTTCCCTGCCGTTCATGAGCAGTCAGGAAAGTTGGATGTGTTTTCTTCCCGCTTTCGATATGGTCACGGGGAATCTTTTGGCACACCTTCTCGTGTTTCACCTAGTGATGTTAGGTATGATCAGTCTAACAATCAAGTTCATCCACTGCCAGGTGATGCTAGTTTTTCTGATTATGGTTGTAACGTGATTGCTGCTGCTGCAATTGAGGCTTTTATGAATAATAATGTTTGCTACCCTCAAGATGAAAATTGGGTGGCTTCTGGTTCTCCAGTACTCGAATCTCCTCAAAGCTTCCCTCAGTTTGAAAATGAGGTAGAGCAAGATGATCCTTACCATGAAAGGACAAAGAGTGTCACTCCTGCTCCTTCTACTTCTCCTACAAATAACATTGTTGATTGGTATTACTTAAACCCATTTAAGATAATTGATGATATAAATTACTATTCTCAGAATTATTATTTTAGTGAATTTAATAGTGATCAGGACTTTAGAGAAGCGAGAGAGAGAGAGGGAATTCCGGATTTGGAAGATGAAACTGTGCCAAATTCGGTGGACATATCCAGAGGCGAGGAATCAGCAGACACTATAAGGGAAAGTTCAGTCACTGGCACTTCACAAGCTTCAATATCTCAAGAAAAAGAAAAGAGTGATCCAATCACCATTCAAGAAGATGTAAGCTATAGACTAGATACCTTGGCAGTAAATATTACTGAAGACGAGAATATAACTAAGGGTGGGCTGTGTATTCAGGGTGAAGATACTGTCACCCAGGATGGTGAATCTTTAGAATCTTCAAGCTTGACGACATTAGATGACTGTGTCTCAAAGAATATCACTGAAATAGTAAAGGAAATTGGAGATATATTCGAGACTGTTGTTAATTATGGGAAGGAAGTTGCAGTATTTTTTGAGGCAGGCAAACTCCCTTACCAGCCTATGGGTGCCAAACTTAAGGGTAGGGTTCTGTTATGTTGTCTTCATATTCAAACTGTTAAATATTTTAGGCTAAGTTGTTCTCCTTCTTATTGCTCTGCCTGAGTATTTTTCGAATTGAAGGTAAGGCAAGAGTTCTGTTAAAGTTCACTCTTTGCATCTCTGCTGACTTTCTGTTGCTGATTGTTGTATGCTTCATTTCCTGCAAATCCTTTCCCCTACTCCAGGTGCCCCAGTGGAGAGTAGGGGTCATTCAGTTGCTCATTTCTTTCATTGATCCTAAGATGCTTTAATATGTCCTAGGCTGTGCCTTTTTTCCCTCTGATCTTCGGCCATCATGCTGACAAAGCACATAATAGAAGTTTGCAAAGCAGGCAGATTTTGAGTACCCTCTAACTGAGGCAGATCAACCTTTGTATTTTATCATAAATTAGCTGAACATCTCAGGTTTTGTGTGCAGAAGTAAAAGGTAAGAACTTATATGGCTTAAAAGAAGATTAATATCAAAGAAATTTCAGTTTGCCTTTTAATTTATTAAGGTAATATCTTTCAACAAAAAAAAAATTATTAAGGTAACATATTTCTCTTTGGTCATTGATTTACAGGATTTTCATTTTTTAGTTCCGAAAGGAATTTATGAAGTACGATTTACTTAACTAAATCTCAGTAACTAAGAAGGATTTCTGCATGTGGATTGCTGTGGGTGAATCTAATGCTAGATGCGTCGTAATATTATTTTTATGGAAATTGTTTGTTTTTATAATGTAGCATTAACTTCAGCAGTTCTGCGTTTTAATATTCCTAAGAACTTTCATGATAGTGGGATATAAAAAGATCTGTGAAATGGTTTATCAGGATTTTGGAATGTAATTGTCACAGGTTTCCTATTTTGGGACCTAATGTATTTTCTACTTTTATTGTAAATAACTGCAACAGAGTTTGCAGCTTTTATTTTATTCTGTTGCTTAAATTCATGGTATAGTTGCTTCATAA